CATTGCATCCTTCCCTGCAAGGTTCTTACTCTGGGCAGAGGAATCTGCAATTCTTGAAGGGTCTTATAACCTGTTGAACCAGCAGCAAAATTTTAATGCCTTTTTAATTGTGTCATTGCTGCAGTTCACCCCCCTTGTAGTTGTCTACCGAATCCCCTAATTTGATCTTTTGAGAAAGTTTTCTTTAATTTGTTGTCCCTAATTTTCAGTGACTTCTTTAAAGCTACATTTTCCTTCCTTATGTTTTTGCCTTTTTGGTCACTTTTTCCTGTCTATATTTTTTCTGACTGGCTGTCTGCTGGTTTACTGGTTGGTATCAACTCTCCCTGTCTCTCCTCACATTCATGCTCACTGTCCATTCTCGCAGATCTCCTCATTCACTCTTTCCTTGATCTTTGAAACTAATGTAAAAAAGAACACATGGAACTGTTACCTTGTTTTAAAAAACAACTACCTCACAACTACCACACAATTAAAAATATCACTTTAATGATTTAGAGTTCATACCTGTGTCAACTTTAGCATTCTAGCTGTGATCAGCCTCCATGTGTTCAGATTTTACAGCTGCATCGTGGTGCAGGCGCCCTCCTCTCTGAGCACAGGGCGATGCACAAAAATGGTAGGAACAGCATCAGCATTCAGCCTAGTCTTGCCCTTTTTTGTCCTCACAAACTGGTCTGCCTCAAAACGAGCCTGCAGAGAGACTTAAGTGTACTTCATGCACACAACAACTTAGTTTTGTCTAACCACACATAGTGGTTGAATGCACAGAATGAGGGGAAACATTGCACTACTTATTACTAGATATGAATACTCTTATTACATAACTAAAAGATAACGAAGATCATAAGCTATTTCTAACAAATTCCTATTACATCAGTAACTGATAAACCTTGTCATACTGAAACATCCGCAGCAAAGCTGTTGATAATCACAATTTATAAAGTTCTGTAACTTAAGCTGAAGAACAAAGACCATTCCTCATCTGCCCCTCTGAGTCTATGCAGATGTGTCTAATACTGTCTCACTTTTCTCTCTCTCTCACTCTGCCAGCACAAGTACTACACAGAGGTTCAATGAAGCCTAAAGACTCACTGTAATGAGACAACACCCTCCAGAAAGTCTCAACTCTCTGGGTTTTTACAAACCCTTCCCAATTCCTTATTTTTAATAAACCAAACATTAAGCTTCGCAGAGGTGTGGTCTTTGTGGAAAAAAAGAGTTGTAATCTAATTACTTTACTTTATTTTATCTTTTTTTGTTGTTGTTGTTGTCTGTTTTGCTGTTGTAACCTTTAGTCGGGGTAAAATTGCTCCTTTTGACCTATTCAACCATTTCTTCCTCCTGTCCTTGTCACTTGGACAACCATACATTATGACTCCAGGTGTCCACTGGTCAGTGGACAATCCCCATGCAGCACAGTATCCCATAGAGGAAAGAAATTCTCTGAGTTCATTAGACATTGAATAATTTGAGTTAATATGCCAAAGGACAACATATAAAATGGATGTTTTTATGTGTATAAAAATATGTTTCCATGTGTCCAGTCTGCATGCAATGTGCTTTAATGTGCCTTTTTCAGTCAAAGAATTCCATAATGCAAAGACAAGTTTTTTGCCTGAAGATGCAATAAGGGGATAACAAATAAATTTTATATTAAATATATAGTGTATTAATTAATAAAATCACAACTTCAGTGGTCAATGAAATTGCAACCCAAAATGTTAATTTAATGCTACATGTCCTGAGACAGCACATTTAACAACATCATGTTGAAGTCCATTGATCCACTGAGCTGTCAGTTGACAATCCTTGATAGTTGTTGATCACCTGTCAGTCTTCGTCGCTCCTCTCTGAAAGTCAAACATTACATGAGTCATTGAATCAATAAGACTAATTAGTCTCTCAGTTACCCTGGGATGATTGACACCACAATGAATTTACAAAATTGTAGAATATTTTTCTAATCTGAACTTTGACACATTCCTTTACTTCCCCTCCCATCACATCACTAAACCTCAGGACACCATGACTCTGTTTTCTCCATATTAATTGACCAAACCCTAAGATATATAAAGGTCTTCATTTGGAGTAACACCTCTCCCCCAACCCACAGGGAAAAATCCAACAGTTCCCAGCAGAGAGCCATGGCCTCAGATTCAGAATGACTGACTCTTATCCCAGCCATTTGACACTCAGCCACAAACTGCCCCAATGTTTGCTGAAGGTCACAGTAGAAATGTGACTCTAAGGGTTCGAAACCAGACTCCCCACTCACTTTGGCTGCGCCTTGAGATCCTGTCCATGAATATCACAAACAGGACCGGAGATAAGGAGGTGTCCAACACCCACTGCAAACGTGTCTGACTTTGTCGCAAGAATATGAACACAGCACTCTTTAGTTGTATGAGGACCAGATGGCTCACAGCAACGGTCCCAGTACCTCGTACTCCCACAGTACTTCCCACAGAGTCTGCAGTAAGACATGCTTGTAGACTTTGTCCCAGTCCATAAAACACATGTAAACTGAATGGCCAAACTCCCATGACCCGCTCAGCATCTCTGCAAGGGTTGTACAGCCAGAATGGAATCCTCATCTTGAATCGGTCGAAGCCTCCATTCAGTACTACAGTGTGGTACCCTGATAACTAGAACACACACTTGGGTCACCTAATTTGAAAATAGGCAGCTTGCCACTTCACAGATTTAGAGGTCAAAGCACCGTTGTGGCCTCGATGTGACACAGAAGAGACTTGTCAGCCAAGACAGTCCAGCAGTGTCCAGGGCCTTCAGAATCACAGGACAAATGTCAGCTTCACCTGGTGGCTCCAAGGAGGAGTTCTTTGGCCACCTGAGCAACCTCGCCGAGAATACGGGGACAGTTTCCCCCGGGTCTATTTGCAGGAGTGCCATTACTGAAAGTATGAAACTTATTTGATCACTGAGCTAAACAAAAAAATAAGGCAACAAACAGTCAACCTATTCATGAAGAACACAGTTCATCATACTGAGTCAAACTGTTTTGTGGTTTTTAGTTCTGGTACATAATTTAGTGGGTCTTGTTCCTTTATACAGTGTAGGATGTGCCTTTTTTGTGTTTTTCCAAAGTAACCTCCTTTCACTATTCTCAAATAACTCTAGAAATGTATCAGAGAGCCAGATTCATTCCATATATACTCATGTACTCACACATGTTTCTTACACATGGTTCCATAGAGCCCCTCTCATAAAACATCTTGTAACAACCCAACTGAGAGAGGTCGCACTGCAGAAGAAAGCCTTTCTCAAAGGCGGAGCTGGACATTCCAGTCACACACTAACTGAGCAGTCTGAGCTACAGCTTACAGCTGTGTACTGCATGAGTGGAGTGGTACTAAGCTTCCCAACAGGATATTACACTGGATACTGGGAACCAGAGAGGACTGGTAAGTACAATTTAGGTTACAGTAATGTACCCTTTAGCTTTTGCCTAAATTCTTAAATATAAAAAGAAGACATAAAACAATACAATATTCTTCACTTCTTTATTTTTCAACATGTATTTAACTTTTTTATTTGTATTTTATTCATTTAAGGTTTTCTAAATTACGGGGAAATTTTTTATATAAATTGTACATATAATAAATAAATTGCGTAGGTGTGCTTGCAGTTGGAAATTAGAGGTTTCTGGGTTTCTTTTCTTCATTTTATTTTATTAAACATGCAGATTTTCTTACCATATATGAAGATTTATTCACTTGCATTATTCAACAGTGTTTTGTCGATTTAGCTGCTTGTTTATGTAAATCGCAAAAAAAAAAAAAAGATAATATTTTTGATATCATATGAACATTATAGGAAAATAATTTTGTAATTTGTGCGTTTGGTTGATCTCAATTTACACTGATACATGTGTGTTTTCTTTCTCGAGTCGTCCGTGTATTCTTTATGTATGTTCTATTGGTTTTGTTGAAGTGTAACCCTTCCCCTAAAAGTCTCAAACCTATCAAACTCTTCTCCAACATTATGCATCAGTACTAAAGGCACCGACTGAAGACACTTTCTGACAAGATATGATGGTTCTGGCTTTAATTAGTACAGCCTGTATTAGTAATGTCATCTATTCTTTACAGGCTATGCTAATCTATGCCAGAATCAGCAATGCAATGGAGGTTGAAGATTTAACACCTAATCTATCATCTTTAATCTGAATGCAGTGCTATCTTGGTTATGAAATCATGCATGTACTTGACAGCCTGGGTTCAAAGCTCATTTTTGGTATTGAAATGTTTTACATTTTTGGTCATTTTTCACACATGTGCGAAGATGCTGTACACGGGGCCACTGTAAAGCAGCTGTACTCCGTGTTTTAAACAAGATCCCATATGATGCTTTTAAGTTAACATATTTTAAATTGTTTTAAAACTCTTAAATAAATGAATAGACAGACTGTCATCACTGATGCCAGATGTAAACTAGGGCTTCTTCCAAGAAAATAAGATAATTATATAAAGGAAGCCCCTTTTAACACCAGGTGCTAATAATGCTTTGGGAACAATAAACAGCAAGAAATGAAAAGAGAAACACGTGAGATCAAGTGGGAATTTCAGATAAATTTTAAAAAAGACACCTGATACAATATTTTTTTGGGAAAAATATCCACCTTCTAAATATGAAATGTCTTAAAAGTTAAAGAATCAGTAGCAGTTGTAGTGACTGAGTTACATTTTTTGCTATCTTTTTTTTTTTTTTTGATTTGTGATGGGACTAGTGTTTCTCAATAGTGATGAACACTGATGGTTGTAGTCACAGCATCAAAATCACAGGCTACGGTACCCTTGGCTCTAAATTTAATGCAGTCTGCATAGTGACGATAACGTGTGCCGTCTTCGGAACTGCTTTTTTGGCTGATTGAAATATATAAGATCTTATGTAAAACCGTCAAATAACCAAGCTAAATACCTTCAGTTTTGCATTTGAAAATTGATGTCTTGTTTGCTTCCAGGAGTCCATTGGCCAGCATGAACCTGACCTCCAGCTCAGATCCCGTCCACTTACTTACCAACAGCTTTACTGGTATGAGAGACCAGACAGAAAACACCATCATAGCAGGGTCTGCAGTTTTAGGTACTGTCTACTGCGGTAATGGAGATGTGGTGTCTGCACATTTTTAATGATCTTTGGAAAAGTATACAAAAAAAGTAGGAAAGCTACATTTAAAAAAAACAAACAAACAAACAAAAAACAACAACTACGAAGCATCTAGCAAATACATAAATATTAACAAATGAAAGCTCCCTTTATCGAGCTAAAGATTTATGATGTAATGATGCAAAACTACTGATAAAAGAACTGTGGCATCTCCGATTTTCTTCACAACTCTGACAAAGGGCAAATTAAACACAATCAGTTGATGTGTTTAATATTTTAGTTAAGAATTACTAATCGCATACAACACACATTAATAAACATTCACATGTAAGACTTGGAAATGTTCTTTTTCTTTAAACTGACTTTCTCCACATCTACAGGTGGCTCTTACCAGGATTTGGCCCTATTATCTGAAAATGGGTGGAAGCAGCATAATGTCAGTCATTTCTCCAGGCAAGGAGGAAACTCGACTGATTCAGCAATTAACAGGACAGTAATGCTTCCTGAAGAGGAGTTTGACCCGTTAGGAGGACACACTATCTGGCAGGTGACAGTTGTGACAACAGTTCTTTTAACTTTGTTCTCACTGTATTAGTTTGGGGGATTTGCTGTGTGAATTTCATGGCCTCAGGAATGATGAATTCTGACAGCCAGGCAAACAATTACCTGCACTCTTCACATGGCTGCTCCAAAGAATCAAGGAATTTATGGATCATCTGAAATGTTTGCTTATGCTTGGTGTCACAAGACAAATGTTGCATTTTTGGAACGCTTGAGACTTGCCTGAATTAATTTATGACTTGTTTTCTCAAAGTAATTCAAGTAGAAGAAGTAGTAGCGGTAGCAGTAGTGGTCATATTAGTAGTAGTAGTAGTCGTAGTAATAACCCATAAAATTGTAGGCTCTGGTACTTCTGACAATGTCCCACAATATTGGCATTTTCTGCGAGAAAGCCCTTTAATTACAAATTACAAATTCCAAAAACAAACCAAAAAAAATGTTCAGTTACAACAATTGTATGTTGGGATTATGAATCACTACAACAAGATCTTATCTACTGAAAAGCACTTAACTGCCCTCTTAGATTCTTTCTCTTCGTATCGCCCCATCCTCAGGTCATCATCATTGTCTTCCTCACTGGATCGCTCTCTCTTGTCACTGTTGTTGGCAACATCCTCGTGTTGGTGTCATTCAGGATAAATAAGGCATTGAAGACAGTGAACAACTACTACCTGCTTAGCCTGGCATTTGCTGACCTGACCATCGGCACGCTGTCCATGAACTTGTACACCACCTACATCATCATGGACCAGTGGGCCCTGGGGCCAGTGGTTTGTGACTTGTGGCTTGCAATTGACTATGTGGCCAGTAACGCCTCAGTCATGAACCTACTCGTCATCAGCTTTGACAGGTAACAAAAGCAGGATTTATGTCATGTTTTTTGTTAATTGCCTCACATCCTAGCCACAGGTATCCACATGTCCCTGTTTAATTAGGCCCAAATGGAATGTTGCTCATTGAACTTAAAGATGTTGATTCTTGTGACTCTTAATGTGGTTGACAAAAATGAGAATGTTTACAGTTGCCCACTTTCTTTCTATGGTCTTCTAGGTATTTCTCTGTGACCAGACCTTTGACCTACCGGGCCAAGCGTACTACTAAGCGGGCCATGACCATGATTGGATTAGCCTGGTCCATTTCTTTTATTCTGTGGGCCCCAGCCATTCTGTTCTGGCAGTACATTGTGGGTGAGCGGACAGTCCAGCCAAACGAGTGCTATATTCAGTTCTTGTCGGAGCCCATCATTACATTTTGTACTGCTATAGCTGCATTCTACTTGCCAGTGACAATTATGGCAATCCTGTTTTGGAAGATCTATCAGGAGACAGAGAAGCGAGCTAAAGAAGTACAAGGTCTCAAAGGATCTGGGGCAGGCAACAGCTCAAAGCAGGCTCAGAATCAAGGGAATGGCAGTGGAAAAGCTGGTGGAGAAGGTGCAGCTAACAGTCAGAAGAATCCGTCAACTGTGCTACGGCAGATGAGCTCTCAAAGCTGCAGCAGCTATGAACTAAATCAGTCATCTTCAGAAAAGAATAACAAGGACAATGCCAGCTTACGGGAGGGAGTGGGAAACAGAGGACAGTGTGGCACATTTTGTTTCCAGTTTTCATCTCTTCTGCAAGGTCGTCGTGCATCCAAAAAGTCCCTCAACACCACAATACTAACAGAGGGTGAGGCAGAGCAGAGCAGCTGTGACAGCTTTAACAATAATGAAGTTGGGGCTTCAGGGGACCAGTCAGGTTCTGAGGCAGAAGCCGACGGTTCAGACCCATCAAGGATTCCAACAGGTTGGACATAACAGTATTATATGGCTTTGTTTGCATGATATATAACTGAATAAGAATGATGTACATAATGTTTAACTACAAATGCTTAAAGTTTCTTCTAATGTTAAATATTTCTATCTACATAGATAGTAAGAAGTCTAGAAAGATGAAGAAAAACAAGGATAAGCAGCCATCATCAGCCTCGAAAAGTCAAAAAGGTTTAAACTCGCCCAACTCCTCTTCTGCTGACCAATCACCTGCAGCTATAACCATGAAAGATGCAGCAATGGCTAAACGCTTTGCCTCGAAGGCCAAGACAGAGATCAACAAGCGCAAGAATGAAAAAAAAGCAAATGACAAGAAGGCAGCACGGACACTCAGTGCCATCCTGTTCGCCTTCATTACAACATGGTTACCGTACAACATCATGGTGCTGGTCAATACCTTCTGTCAGGACTGTATCCCTGAAACTCTCTGGGCTCTGGGCTACTGGTTGTGTTACGTTAACAGCACAGTCAACCCCATGTGCTATGCCCTGTGTAACAAGACCTTCAGGACAACTTTCAGGGATATTTTAATGTGCCAGTGGAAGCAAAAAAAGAACAAGCCTCATTTTAATCAGAGGCAGTCTGTGGCATTCAAGAAGAAAGACCCAATGTAGAGAGCAGCGGCCAGTTGTTAGATGGATCTGGGTTTCAGACTGCATTTTCTGATCCATATTCAGAGTTGAAATGCATAAGACACAGCTTATCTGTCATGGAAAAATTGTAAAAAAAAAAGAAAAAAATTAAATAAATAAATAAAAACCCCTCTCGAACCTTTTCTAGCCACATTAGCAGAATGACCCAAGGCCAGTTTGTTTTTCTGTCCCAGATACTGTGTCTTCTTAGCTGGATAGCCAAATTTGAAATGGATATTTATTGTCCAGAGGGAATTATTTCTAATAATTTGGTGATTCCTTGAGCTGCCATTTAGCATGGCATCAGTTCAAACTGATCTCCGACTATTTCACATCTAAAAAACTACATACTGGACTTCGTAATAACGGTCTACAGAGTGTGACTGTCGGGGTGTAGCACCACCACCAGGCTAACTTTTACACTGTGCACAGCTTCAGATGTGTCAATATCTATATCTGGACATATTCACAGGATTTTTACTTGGTACATTCAAATTCCCTATTTCTATTTTTGACTTTCTCATGAGCTCAGCACCCCCCATGGGCCAAATTTAAAATTGCATTAGGATTTAAAAAAAAAAATAAAAAATTCTAATTCAAAAATTCTGCATGAAGTTTGACTAACACAAAGTGCTTGAAGGAGAAAACCCCCTTAAATGTACTGTTCTTTACTTCATCCCCCCCCTCCTAATGTGCTTCATATTTGTAGCTTCTGGCCCCAAAGAGGATTATTAAAAACAAAACTTTCAGTAGTTGTTTGTTCTAGTCGAGCTCCAGACTTTGGAACGGAAAAATATGATTACTTTTCTGCTCAGGTCCAAATCGAATGACTCTTTGGTTTTGGTTTTTGAAGTGACAATTTTGACTGTTTTAAGAGCCTTGAGAAAATGAAAGCAACCCTTTTATAAACTATTAACTGAGTCTGATAGTGTGAGTGTGATAGTTTAATGTTCTGCTTATATTTGTCATTTTTTGGTTATCTTTTAGGATTTTAAGGGCAATGGTGTTTTAATTTCTGCATTCAATAAAAATAAGTAAATAAATTAAGCTAATTAGCTCTAAAAGAGCTCCATGACTACCAAGAGATGAGTAAAAAGACACTACAGCAAGTACTTTATTATAGTAATAACACTTTAGTTAATGGACTCGTAGCCAATTCTTTTTCATACATATAGAATGAATAAAGACAATGGTCTTTTATATAGAACTGCCAGTTGTCTTAAGATCACCCGGCCAATACTAGTACAATCTAATCCATCAAATCCTCCTTTCATGAAGCTTCCAGAGTTCGGTCTTTGTTAAAACTGTTGCAGAGAAGTCTTGGTTCAGCATGCTTCTATTAAATGTTATTGTCTTATGAGGTGTTTCTAATATTGACCTGTTGATATGAATGGGATGCAATATTTTTTATATAGGTTTACAGAATACACTGACAAATGAGTGTGTGTAACATAAACATTCTCACCCAATCAGTACGTCCACAATGGTTTAGTTCTGCATGTTGACACTTGATTTATAATTGTAGTCAGTGGCTGTGGTTTGGGAAATATCAACTAAATCACAAGTAGTTCGAGCATTTAAAAAAAAAAAAAAAAAAGACATCGTAGGTTCTTGCTCATACCTTGGTTGATGCTGTTGACTGAATATCATTCAGTGTTTAGTATTTGTAGCAGACAGCTCTCAGTCTAATCAGCTGTGTTAGCCTTGCTGTGTGCATCTGTTTAAATACTAGGGAGTAGCGTAATAATGAAGATGAATGCTCAGCACATATTTAAAAAGTAATGTGACAACCTCCATACGTCGGCCTGGTATCTACATAGAGCATATAGGGTGTGCACATTGCAGGTTGCCAGTGGAAGGGAAGGAACAGATTAGTACTGACAGTGACCTCAACCTTTTCTGTTGTGTTGTTTTTCCATGATTACAGGAAATAAAGAAAGCATGAACATATCCATACCAGTCAGACACCTTTGGTCCACCTCTGCTGTTGACAATATTGTGAGAAATATTTCTGATGATCATATATTGCTGTGAGATAAAATGTACATGGTTTTAAAAACAAGGTGTAATTACTTTGCACTTGAGTGTTTTGTAATATATGCAGTTCAGTGTTTCTACAAACATGCCATTTCACTTCTATAAATGAGCTAAACAGCAATAAAATTGAATGTGTAGCATTTTTTTTATTTAACCTGTGATTTCTGAAAAATACTTTTAAGGACTCAAAGTTTTTTTTGGCATGTTGTGTTCTGTCACTTCAGTTCTGTAAAAATGGTTCAACAGTACCAACAAGTGGTTTCAAAATAAAACTGCAGAATTGGTAGCTATAGAGTGGTAACAAGACTTTGCTTGTCTAAAGTGAATCCAATTGTGCACCTGGCAGCCATGAAAAATATTGCCACACATGCCATATATACCAATGTCAACTGTAAGATTATACATACATATTGCATTCTGACATTTTTGTTCATGAAAAATAACTAAATAATATTTACATTTTCCATTCAATAACTCAAAGTACAATAAGTAGGAAAATAATTTCCCCACAACGTTGATTTTTATTGTTTAGAGGTGAAGAGCAAAAAACTCCATCCATCCATCCATTATCTATACACCGCTTAATCCTCACGAGGGTCGCGGGGGGGCTGGAGCCTATCCCCGCCGACTTAGGGTGAAGGCAGGGGACACCCTGGACAGGTCACCAGTCTATCACAGGGCTACACTTAGAGACAGACAACCAAGCACACTCACATTCACACCTACGGACGATTTAGAATCACCAATTAACCTCAACATGTTTTTGGACTGTGTGGGAGGAAGCCAGATAACCCGGAGAGAACATGCAAACTCCACACGGAAAGATTGCAGCCTGGACGTGAACCGGCGACCTTCTTACTGTGAGGCAACAGTGCTACCAACTGCGCCACCCTGCAGCCCGTGTCTTGGTTCCTTGTTCTTTCTATGACATTGCATTCAGCTGGCAGATACTTTTGTTCAAACAGTGTATTAACACATTAAGTGTATTTAGCTTCAGCAGCAGCCAGCATAATTACAAAATTTTACAGGAATTCATCCAAAGGTTCTAAAATGTTTCAGTCTGGACCAAAGAGACTAATAAGCCATAACTTTAATCCACAGTGCTGCACTGCTTTGAGGTTAATACAAACCCATGTCCGTTATATGGAGATGGAGAAAAAGTCAAATTCACATTTACTGTCATTTACTACAGTATTCACAATTAGTCAGCTCGATCGGTTCAGTAGAGAAATAAATAAATGTCCTAAACAGTTTCTCCCTTCTGACACTTGATGGAGCTATCATGCCACAAAACAACAAAAGATACAGTCATGGACTAAAGTATGGGCACCCCTGGAATTTTTCCAGAAAATGTACCATTTTCTCCCAGAAATTATTGCAATTACACAAGCTTTTAGTATACATGTGTTTACTTCCGTTATGTGCATTGGAAAACACAAAAAAGCAGAAGAAAAAAGCCAAAATGTACAGAATTTTACACACAACTCAGAAAAGGAGCCGGACAAAATTGTTGGCACCCTCAACTCAATATTTGATTGTACACCCTTTGGAGGAAATAATTGAAACCAAAAGCTTCCTATAACTATCAACAAGCTTCTTACACCTCTCAGACGGAATTTTTGGACCACTCTCCTTTTGCAAACTGCTCCAGGTCTCTCAGATTTGAAGGGTGTTTTCTTGCAAAAGCAATTTTGAGATCTCTCCATAGTTGTTCAATGGGATTTAGATCCGGACTCATTGGCCCTGCATTACTGCCCAAAACATTTTGATAGTCTCCAGATTTCATGACTCCTTGCACACTGTCAAGGTATCCAGTGTGAGAAGCAACAAAACAACCCCAAACCATCTTTGAACCTCCACCATGTTTGACTGTAGGTACTGTGTTCTTTTCTTTGTAGGCCTCATTCCATATTTTGTGAACAATATAATGACGTGCTTTTCCAATAAGCTCTACCTTAGTTTCATCTGTCCACAAAACATTGTCCCAGAAGGATTGAAGCTTACCCGGGTACATGTTTGTAAACTCCAGTCTGGCTTTGTTATGTCTCTTTGTCAGCAGTGGGGTTCTCCTCGTTCTCCTGCCATAATGTTTCTTCTCGTTCAGATGACGATGTGTGAGCCAACCTGACACTTTTACACCCTGAGTCTGCAGGACAGCCTGAATTTGTGTGGAAGTTGACTCAGGATATTTATCCACCATTCAAACTATCTTGCGTTGCATTCTTTCATCAATTTCTCTCTTCCGTCCCCGTCCAGGGAGATTCGCCACAGTTCCATGGGTTGTAAACTCTTTGATAATATTCCGCACAGTGTATGGAATTATGTTTGTTGCCACAGCTCTGAAACACTCCTGTAACAGAACAAACAATAAAATTCAGACCACAAACTTAAAAAAAAAAAAAAAAAAAAAAAAAAAGAGGGGAAAAAAATAAAAAAAAATATCATTTAAAATTTGCGCTGGTCATTCTATTTAACTTTAATGTGCTATTAACATTCCCAAAGATTCTCCTGATTTGCAAACTATAGAACTAGCAAATAACCTTTACTGATCTGTGTCTTAACTTATCTTAACTACATCATTCACAGGTTAAATCACAGGTTAAGACAGTGGAGAGAAGCTAGTTACTCTGGGAAGAAGTGAAAATATTCAAAAATGTCTAAGTTTTTCATAAAACAATCGAAATTTACTGATATTAATTTACTGACCTTTTTCTTTTTCTTTTGTTCGGTTACTCCTACAAAACCGTTGGGATTTGAATTCTGTCTTGTCATTGGCCAGTTTTTCACAGGCAGGTTCATGACCACAAACAGATTTACAGATCAGAAGAGTTACAGTAGTGGGCATATATTTACCCATAATCCATTGCTATTGACAGTAATGCACTGTATATACACTTCTCAGTATTTTACTGTACATATTACATTTAAATACACTGTAACATTTACTGCACCGTGACATAAATGATCTCAGACAGCGATCACTCATAGGGAGTGAGCAGATCACAGATGTATGCAGAAGTCTGGCCATTCGAGCCTTTTAATAAAAACAAGCCATAAAATCTTTAAAACTATTTTAAAGCTCACAGGTAACCAGCAGAGGGCGGCAAGGTTTTGCATAACATGGTCGCTTCTCTTGGAGGGTGATCTACTAACCTTGCCCAACAAATCAAGTGAATTAAGCTATACAAACAACTTGCACACTTCTGTTCCCTTCAGTAGCTGAAATTATGACCTTATGGAAAGCAATTGTTAGAAAGCACAAGCAAATTAAAATGGACTGCACCCCATCATGTGAAGCAACATTTGGAATGTAATGCGGATAAATGGAGAGATAAGAAAAGGTGCTCAGGAAAAATGATCACATTCACGTGTGTTACTGTTAAACTGAAAATGAAGGCTGTTTCTGGCTCAAGAGTAAACCTTCTGCAGTTACACATGAGAGGTGCCTTTATTGGGGTCTGGCTCACACGTTGCACTATGGGTAATGTAGGCGGGCAGGACTCTGATAATCATGGGAAATGTAGTGAGGAACTGTGTAATTAACTGCAGTGACAAGCCATATGAGAAAATCAAAGAGGAGGGGGCACACCTTCATGTCCACCCCACCCCCGCCAGCAAGACTACAGTGTCAGTTGCCAGCAGCATCTTCATTCCTTTCAGGTCCTGCAGGGCTTTGTGTCCCTTTCCCAGTTGCTCTACATCTCTCCCAGTCTGCCTCCCAGTCAAAGCTCCACTGAGCTCACAGTGCCTGCGTCACTCCTTTCAGCAGATGGAGAGGAGGAGGAGGAGGAGGGGGAGGGTAAAACTGAGAGAGAAAGGGGAGGAGGAAGAGGGAGCTGTATGTCTCCTCTCCTGCATCAGCGTCAACATCACTGCCACGCCAGCCTTAGTCACCGGAATATGAGGAAGATCATTGTACAAGAGCTAAAAAAAAACAAACAAAAAAACACCATCAGCAGTAGCAGCTCCTCCTCCTTCTCCACTGGATTTGTATTCTCAGATTAGGCCACAACGGTTCTATCTTCCGGAGGCAGAAGCATCTAAAAACTCCTCTAGACAGGAGGAGCCTTTCCCCAGCATGACCTGAGAGGAGAGGCAGGCAGCCATCACTCTGTCTCCGTTAACATGGGCAACCAGGAGGCAAAGCAAAAGAGAGCTGCAGCCGCATCGGGTAATGGAAGTTACCCTTCTCTGGACGAAGGATGGAGAGAGGGAGGAGGGGACACGACAAAAAAAGGAGGCAAGAAACTCCATGGTAAACATGGAGGTAAAGGAGCAGGCGGCGGTGGAGGAGGAGGTGGGATGCATGGCACAGGACAAGGCAAAAAGAAGAACAAATCCGATTCCAAGTCCTCTGTTTTCTCTATCCGTAAGAGAAAGAGCAACCTTAAAGGGAAAGGAGATGCATGTTCATCAGTAACAGGCTCAAAAGAGGATGTTTTAACATCTCAACACGATGAACTGGACAGCACAAAAACACCTGATCTGTCTGCAGATGAGCTTGGACATTCGGACAATGAGGCTGCTTTTCCTGACAAGAAAAAGAAACTGGAGCAAGGGAAAAATATTGGAAATGGAGGAGGAGAGCCAAAGCAGGAGATGGTGCGGAAAACCTCAACAGCACCAATATCTCCCACAGAGGATGGAGGACAGAAGGGAGGGAGCTCAGGCTCAGACACGGATATCTACAGCTTCCACTCAGCAGCTGAGCACGAGGATTTACTTGCGGATATCCAGTTGGCTATAAGGCTCCAGCACCAGCAGCAACATGAGGGGGCTCACCCAATTGTGGAAGCAGAAGGAATTGGTGGCAGGGATCTGAGCCGGGGAGCAGCAGAGGGGAGGAGCAAACAGAGTAATGGAGTTGTTAAATTAACCCCTCCTGAGGTGCTTGACCTGACCCCAGAATTAGAGCTGGGATCTGATGCCCTGTCATACCTTGAGACAGGAATTCTGTCTGGCTCTGTCAAGAACACAGTCCCACCTCCAACGCTACACCTCCCCTTCCACACAGAGGTACAACAGAGGAGGGAGGAGAAGGAGGAGGTGGAGCATCTGGAGGCAAATGGGAAGGGGCAGAGGGGGAGAGAAGTCCCTCTTTGTGTTGCCACAGGCACAAAAGACCAGCATTCTTTGCTGCAGCAGCCCCCTCTCACAGACATCTCCATGGCTACTGCAGGGGGGACAGTCACCATGACAACCAGTAGTAACAGCTTCCCTGAGTTCCAATTTGACAGCACTGGGAGAACCCCAGGGAAGGAGGAGGAAGCAGGAGGTGAAAGCCAGCAGGAGGAGGAGAGAAAGTCCGAGGTGGTAGCTGATCTCAGTCCTCCACTTGCAGACATCAATGACAAAAGTCCAGAACCCACAGAAGGGCTAAGCTCAGGGACTGTGTTTGGAGAAGGTGAGGGTCACTTAGGCTCAGGCTCCAGTGCTGAGTCCCTTGAGGACTGTCTGAGTGCTGGTTCTGAACCCAACCACTCTGCCACAGCAGGCATCAATTCCTCCCCTGTTGATGAGCAGTGCAGAAGGAGCAGCGTCTGCTCCACCTCACTGCCTCCTCAGGAGAGCCCCACGTTAGCCAAGCGACTCCTCAGGTCCACCCAATCTTCCACCTCGTCTAGCCCTGTGGTGAAACCCTACCCTCGCATCTTCCCATCCTACATCAAGACTACCACCAGACAGCTCAGCTCCCCAGGACACTCCCCAGCCCTGTCACCCTCCCACAGCCCCCTGTCCCCTCGCAGAGTCCACCATCACTTCCACAGGTACCTGTGGTGCTTCTGCATGCCATATGTTATTTTTACTGTCAAGATAACTATAGCCATTACTTAGTTTCGTTTCTGAAGTATATTTTGAGATTATTTCAATTTGGGTTTTATTTCCATAGTTCTGGATGTCATCTCTGCTACTAATAATGACACTGTATTTCCCAAGTTGCTTGCTGATTTTGTTGCACAGCACTGTTACTAAAGGAAATCTCATGGAAACAAACATGACCAGTTCGATCAAGTAGATAGATTGTAGACAATGTCACAGATAAGCCACACTCATTTGGAGGAGAAAAGGAAGGTCATCAGTAAAATTGTTACCCAAACTGTTTCTTGTCACCATCCATTACAATTATAAACCCTTTTCTTGAATGTTAACAAACTGTACCTGCTTTTCTTGTGTGTACATAACTTCGATCTGCAGTGAGGGGACAGATGTAGCATATTAGGTGTGCTCACTTTCAGATTTATCCTCAACTAAATGAAGGAAATAACTATAAACTCTGGCTGCCATTGTGTTCACTGTTGCTGGTAGACATGTACACCACCAGTTCAGTTAGCCCACACATCGTCTTTCTCTCAGATTTCAGAGAATGATGAAGCATCGGGTCAACCACACATAGGCTCACTGACTACTTTATTAGGAACACCTGTACACCTGCAATTTGTGCAATCAGCAGAGCAATGTATAAACTTGTGTAGAGATACTTCAGGATCTTTAGGTAATGTTGACATCAAACATCAGAATGGGGAAAATATGATCTCAGTGACATTGAGCATTGCATGATTGTTTGACGTCTGAAACTTTTCTTCATAATCTTTTGTAGCGTTTATTCACTGTTGGGCAGAAAACAAAAACCAGGCAGTGTCCAGCAACTCTGCTAATGGAAACATCCTGGTGCTGAAAGAGTTTAGAGGAAAATAGGCTAACTGGAGCTGACAGAAGCCATATGGTATCTCAGAGAACCACTCTTACATCTGTGCTGAGCAGAAAAGCATCTCAGACTCACAGCACATCCATCCTTAAAGCGGATGAGCTACAAAAGCAGGGGACCATGTGGGGTTTCACTCCTCATAGCCAAGAACAGAAATCTGAGGATGCAGAGTGCACCAGCTCATCAAATCTGAACAGTTTAGGATAGAAAAATATAGCCTGGTCTGATTAATCTCCATTTCTGCTGATGCTAGGCTAACGATCTGCCTTGTGTAAACAGTCCAGACTGGTGATACTGAAGGTGTAGAGATGTTTTTTTGGCACACTTTAGGCAACTTAATATCAATCAATCATTGTCTGAAGGCCCAAGATGTCCAACTTTTAATTGCTGTTGACAGCAGGATTATGCACATGTCATTGGTTTTATGAACATGACAGTGAGGTCAGTGACCATATCATGCCCTTCAGATGCTATATAGCTCTATTTATTAAATAACATACACAATTCCACAGAATTTGGAGGAGTTCAAATCAGCTACGTAGCTGCTGCTAAGCTATGATTAGTGCATTAAACAGTCCAACTGCACCATTTATGCAACATCAGAGATTATAAATGACAAAAAATTTATTATGCATCATGACATTGTGTGGATAGGCTCCAGCCCCCCCGCGACCCTAGTGGAGATTAAGCGGTGTATAGATAATGAATGGATGGATGGGACATTGTGTGGTAAAGCAATAATGTCCTTTCAGTTATAATGATAAGCAATAATGTTGCCGCAGTAAAAGTATACAAATTGCTTGGATGGTTTACCAAGCTAGAAAGTTTTGAGTATTTTAAAGTTAATCTGATTACCATATATTATGTATAGAACCAACTGGCTGCCTGAAAGGCAAGACAACATACAACATCATTTGAGAAATAGGCAAAAATTAGTTTACTGTATGAGAAATCCACTTTCAAAGTAAAGCTAACCAGGCATGCAAATGTTGACAGGATGATGGCTGAAGGTCACCGGGTCCACAGACAGCGCTCTCGCAGCCTTGCTGGCTCGCTGAGTCGCTCAGCTGACTGGACAGAAGAACTTGAGAGGAGGCTAAGGAGCAGAGAGGAGGATGGAGGTTCAGGAGAATATCTGGTGGGCTACAGAGGAGGAGGCAGCCAGCCCATCTGCGCTACCAGAAGATCCTCCTGTGGCCAGGTCTCTACATGTGGCTTTCAGGATGTCTTCACAGGTGAGTAAAGAGTAGTTGTCAGTGAAGCAGTCTTTGGATGTCATTTTCATTTAACATTTTGTTTTGTGGGCTGCAAGGTGGCTCAGTGGTTAGCACCGTCGCCTTGCACCTAGAAGATCCACAGTTCACGTCCTGGTTTGGCTGCCTGAGATCTTTCTGCATGGAGTTTGCATGTTCTCCCTGTGCAGTGTGGGTTCTGCTGCTTCCTCCCACAGTCCAAAAACATGTTGAGGTTAATTGGTGATTCTAAATTGTCTGTAGGTGTGAGTGTGAGTGTGATTGGTTGTCTGTCTCTACGTGTGGCCCTGCCATAGACTGGTGACCTGTCCAGGTGAACCTGTCTTCACCCTAAGTCAGCTGGGATAGACTCCAGCCCCCCGCCACCTTAGTGAGGATAAAGATAGATAATTAATGGATGGATGGATGGATGGATTTTGTTTCTTACGGGAAAGAAAACAAGCAAGGACTTCAAATTGTTTGACTTGTTTAAGTGTTGTGTGGATGAAAGTATGTTAATGTTGTTGTCTACTGTTCCTGACTCAGGGACATCTAGGTTGCTATACCTGCCAAATGGAAACATTGGTCACATTAAAAACAGTTATATAATACTTTAAAAAGACCATTTGTTTCTTTTTCACTGATCTTTGCTTATCTGCCGCTTTATTGCCCTTGAAATTCACACTTATATCCTTTCCGTTTTGAACTTTTGTCTCATAATTGACAGATGGGTCAATCTGTAGTTCTATCACTCTATAAAGCAACATTTTACCAGCAAATACATTTTCAAGATAACTTACTGGGACAAGATTATGTTTTCTGTTAAAAACAATGTCAATTTTGCACATTTTTGGGCTATATTTCCCTGTAATGATGGCCGCCTTACTTCACAAGCTATACAACTTTTGAAGGCACTCACTTCATTTGGTTACATTGATCAGCTTAACCCAGATTCTTGTTTGTGATTGTAAGTCCTCATCACATCCACCCCACCTCCTGCTGTCTTCAATGTCATTCATGAATGTAGAACTTTATTTATTCATTAAACAAAACAAACAAAAAAAAAACAACAAAAAACGCAACAGAAAAAACAAAAGACTGTAATGTAATGTAGTTTGGTCATCAATAATACAACAACAAGGAGAGAGGGTTGTGGGTTTATAATCATCCTCAGTTAATGAAGATGGAACAGAGTACAGTTCTGACATTTTCCATCAGCTCTGCAAAGTTGAAATGCATTTTCTTTTGAGGAGTCAGAGGGAAGGGAATTTGTTATCAGGTACACACATTTATATTCAGCCGGATTACTTTGAATAACCGAATGAGAATTTGACCCACACATGCTCTGCAATAGTCCGATTACCCTTAAGGGCTTCACATGCAGTCGGCCAGCAGTCACATTTCACTACTGCTCTATGATACAGCTGCCATGATCATTCTGAGTATTCAGGATTACAGTCAGCTTTCAGTGGCATGCTGGTATTTTTATAGGTGATGTCAGACAGTTTTACACATCAAAAGATCAGAAGCTGTCCACAGACTTACTGAGTATACATGAAACTAGATGTTTTCCTCTGAGGTGCTGGATCTCTTCTTTCCTCTCAGCTTTCTCGTTCCAAATATTTTCTATGAGCAGAAGCATCTCCTCCAGCTCTTGTATTTTTCCTACAGCTGTGCTCTTTTCTCACAAATGTCATACACTTATGAGAGCTCCTTCCTGGATGTCTTCATTCAGGCTGAGAGTCCGTTCTGAACCCCTCTTCTTTTTCAGAGAGCTCCTTCATAACTCTCTTGATCTGTTCTAACTGCTCGTCCCTAATGACTTTTTACTTTCTCTCTGAGCTCTTTCCTTTCCTCTCTTCTAGTCAATAACTTTTCTACTTTTCCGTGTTTGTTCTGGCATTGATGGACATGCTCTTGATCCTGGCTAATTCTGTCACAGTCATAGTATCGAGCAGGGGCCTCAGTGTATGTAGTGTAGACAGACTGGTATGGATTGGTTCTTCATGCAAACCATGAGCTCTTTGACATGACTGATCTAATGGCCCTAATATATCCCAAATGAAAGCTGGAAGAAACATTGTAAGCAGAAGTGGAAAATGCAGTATTTAAACAGGGAAAGATTTACTTCAAAACTTTACTTCACATTAAAACTTGCTTCTGTGGGGATTGAATGAAGACATACATCAATAGGATCTGGGATTTGCTTTATCCAATGCAGTAGATTTAATTATTCAATAAACTCTAAAATTTCCAGCTTTTTACATGTACAAGTCCATTTCTTTCTTTTGTTTCTGCACATTCAGGCCGCACTCTTTTGGAGAAGCTGTTCCTGCAGCAGCAGCAGGAAGAGCCCGAGGAGGCCGAGAGGCTCTGCTCCAGGATCTTGGCCATGGGCCTGTTGCTGCCATTCACAGAATGCTTCAGAGAGCAGCTGGGAGGCAGCACTGCCCACATCACCTCCAATGCATCAGCCAAGTTTGATGTATGTAGTTGCACTTCACATACCATCATTTACTAACATGTTTGTTGTGACCTGTATTGATGTACGTTCTACAATGAAGTCTGTTTAGAAAGACAAGACATTTGTGTTTCATGCTTTATGTACAAGCAGTCTTTTTCAGTGTAGTTAAACAGTGTAGTGCCTTATGTAACCTTTAATGGTCAGTTACTTGCAGAGAGATCTGCAGATGTTTTAGAGCACATGTTCTTCACAGGGGCATCCATTAGTTTTGATCTATGTTTTCGTCAGTATTGGTTTGTCACAAGGTTCCATACCTGTGTAGGCATTGTAGCAAGGCATCAAGGAGGCTGGATGAACTTAGTGCAGGAGATTATATTATATTCAAGAGAGTGAAGCACAATCTCTCTCTATCACTTTATGTTTTAAAGTTTGTGTGTGGGCTGGAGAGCAGTGATTGGTCAGAACGATCTGGAGGTGGAATATGGGGTGAAATGTGAGATGTGGCCACTGTGCTTGATGCCAGTGAGGAGTCTCTGTGCTGCACTTTGAGCCAGTTGCAGGTAAAACAGGACTGAATGACGCAGTTGATTTATAACATTTTAAACCAGAATATAAGATGACACTGAGATTTCTTGCATGGGGCTATAATGGAGGCAGGCCGAGTGTTGTTTACTTTGTGAAACAGCAGAGTTGTGTTAGGTTCCAACCAAGAACATTGATTTACAGAAACACTTTAATGTTCCAGACACAAACATTGTCGGCAGGAAAAACTTGCTTTTTTGATTTGCAAGTTGCACCTCAAAGGCTTGAATTATAACCTCGACTTGGCTCTAAAGATTTGAATCACACAGCTCTGCAAAATGTACAATTTGTACATGTTATTGATGATGGTCGGAATGTGCGACTGGCATGACAAGGAAACCATTCTAATAGGGTTTTGTGTCTCCAGCATGACCAGTTGTATACATGGGCAGCTGTCAACCAGCCACCACACTCCCTGGAGCCACTTGAAGGGAAACTTCCCAGTCAGATCAAGGGGCCGTGGCCTCCAACAAGGCCAGGTGTCGACACCAGGACTGTACCCAAATCCACAGAGGCAGGTAAGAAGTGGTGGTCCTAAGACTTTGAATTTCTGCAGAATCTTTATCCACTGACAACATTTTTGACTGGCTTTATGTTGCACCCACTTGCACATGGGTCTATGAGCAGAAATTTGTCAGCAATCAGCAATGTGATGGATTTAGATTTTGACTTCAGTGTTTCCTGAACATATCTGGAGACAGGCAGGAAATACTGCTTTCTTTCTGATGTGTACTGATTTGCAGCACAAACGGAGGGATTTTAATTCAAATACAAATGATTCAAGTTCAGCCAATAGCTTAGATTCACATTTGAAGAAATCCCCAAAGTATTTAAACATCCCCCTGAAATTGCACTGTTCCAATTTCTGGTACTGTGTGTTGTTGTATGTGGTTATGTTGATTGTTGTGCTGGAATTTTTTCTGCTCGGTTCCTCCTCAGTGTGGCAAAATATCTGTTGAAATACTGTACAACATATAGCAATGAGCACTCAGTAAACAACAGTCCTGTGTTAAAGGGTTGGCTGTCTGCCCTGTTTGGTTTATTAATAAGCACAAAGCACCACAGCAAACACAGAATATACACAGTACTGCATTTACAAGTATTAATCACTATACGCTAATTTGTTGATAGAAGCAGTTCAGGCTGATGACATCTGTGTCCTGACACATGTTTGAAAATTGTGAAAAATGTTTGAGTGGATTTGAGTTTTTTTGCATACTTTATGATGGATTCAATTTTAAATGGTTAAAATAAATATTTTCCTCGTCATTTTACACTCAATAACTTATAATAACGAAATGAAAAAAGTAGATTTTTTGTAAATTTCTGCTGAAAAATCAAAAATTGATTTACCAAAGTATTCATACCTTTTGCTGGACTCCAAACTGCAGTGAAGTGCATTCTGTTTGCTTAACTTATCCCATCTGCCTACATTTGGCAGGACAGATGGTAGGTGGGGTTTAGGATAATAGAATGGATAAAAAGACGTGTTCGTGGGGGTGAGGTGTGCAGGGGGAGACATTATGGATCAATGTTAATATCTGCTTGTCAATCTCCCTGTGAGTTTCTGTCGGAGGGGAGAAAGTGGTGCAGTTATTCAATATACTACCTTCCTGGGTACTTTAAGACACCCAGAGATTAAAAAACAGTGATTTCCTAGTCTGATGAGACAAAATTAGAACTCAGAACAGAACTCCAAGCCCCATGTCTGCTGCATACCAGGCACTTGTCATTACCTGCTAATGTCATTCATACAGTAGTCTCTCTTAGCCTCTCTGTGGTATCTCTATACAGTTAAACCTGCTGCATGCAGCAACATGCTATGGGGGTCTGTCTCTGCACCAGGCACAGGTAAACCAGTCAGAATGTAGAAAAAGATGAATGCACTATAGATATAACCTGCTTCGCATCAGTGGGGAAATTGGAGGATTGCAGGTCACAGACACTTCCTGACAGAATTTAGGAGGATATGCAGGAAGAATGGAACAACCTTCCCGAATCTAGATGTACAAAACCTGAGACACTGTAGAGCAGAGACAAGTCAAACCTGTGACAGCTGCCAAAGAGGGCTCTTCAAAGAACAGAATTAAGATTCTGAATACTTTTGCAAATGGGAGATTTCAGTTTTTGATAAATTTACAAACAAAATCTAAAACAAAAATATATATACGACTATAACCTGTCAATATATGTTGCTTCATGGCAATTGTGTCCATTTAATCTACAAAAAATAAAGTAAATTTCAAAGAAATACACAAAAAGTGAAGGGGTTTGAACAGTACACTGTCTATGTACCTGAAGAATATTCTCATACTGCATTCTCAAAGCACTGGCAGCTTTAAGGAGCGCCGGTGTGATGTGGTCTGATGTTTTACCTTTTGTTCTGGGTAGAACTCATGTAGCTGCATTCTCAATGAGCTGCTATCTCTCAGTAGTTTGAGATGTGAGGCCTAAAAACAAAAAATTGCGAACGTCCAGTCTGCTTTAGCCAAATTTGTGAATACCTTGTTTACAGAGTTATCCCTTAAATTAAATACAATTTGGATCATATTGCCAAGAAGGCATTCAGTACATGAATCCATCATATCAATTCATATTCAATATTCATATTCAACAATTTCCCTGAGGTTCATACCAAAGGGATCAATAAAGTTGTATCTATCTATCAGCCACATCAGAATCATAAATCTTGCTATCATGCTAAGCCTGGAAAAGCATGAAAAGATGTGATGCATGTTTGTTAACATGCTGAAAATAATTGGGAGTTTTCAAATATAAATTTTTTGATGTAACCAACTGTTGTAGGTTAACACACCAGTGCCTGTTGTTACATTATTTTACTGCTATTATATCACATTTTTGACGCAGTTTTAATAAACAGCTTGCACCTTATTGGCTCAGCCATGTACAATGTTTGGTGAGTAAAAAGTAATGTTGCTGCTGAATATACAGCTGACAGTTGTTGAAATGTTGCTTGGTTAGAGGTATAAAAAGGGTAACTTTACCGTGCATTATTGAGAGTTATTGATATTGAGCCCTTTGGTCTATCAGCTCCACTACTTTAATTCATACTTATGCATGTCACCAATGGGTCAAATTTTTTGAAAAATATCTGCTCAACCATCTCTGATTTTCTTTAAATGTTGTAACATAAAATATGACTATTTGTAAATATAGCTGAAATTTTATCCTGCTATATCAAATATTTTTTGAGATTTTTAAAAATGTTCTTATGTGTGTTGATCCACTTGCAGCACTCTATCAAACATTGAAATTTGAGGTTATCTCAGGAACTATTAGAGCTCAAACTTTTCGCTGCTATTTTTCACCCATCCATTGCACACATTAACAAAAAAATGATAATGCAGAAGTAAACTAGTGATATTTTCTGATCCATATGTATTTATTAAAAAAAACAACAAACAAAAAAAACCCCATAGAATATGTTTAATATGAAATACTTGGTCACGAGGATGAAAAGAAAGTATTTTTTGTTGAACTTTTGATTGAGCAGGTATGACAACCACAGAAACAAGAATATTGCCAGGTAGTCTAATCCAGGTAGAAAATTGTTCTGGAATTACAACATGTTTCTCAATGTGATCATATACACATAGATCTATTGGGATAGAGGGATTTTTCCAGTGGGGGAATTTTTCATGCCTTCACATATCTTTTATGGTCATCTGATGTAGTTACATGAGTGAGAGTTAAGTGGCAAATTTATTGTCATGATCATTGTGGAAGCTGTTTGTCCTTAAAGATCAATGTCACAAGCTGGACTGAGTGTGAGTACATGTACATTTATAGAAACTGCCCCTGAGTTTACCTTCAAGCATCCCTTCCAGGAAGTAGTAGGACAATGCATTGAACTGAACATGTGATGTCTGAAGTGACTGAAAACAATGTTATATGCTTGTATCAAAAAATACCGTTTCTTAGTTATATTTGGAGAACCCCTATCGGAGTTCTATGAGCTTTCTAAAATGTGTTTCTTTGTTGTGCTCTGGTGTTCCTCTCTGTTTGTCTAGAACATCATGTAGGCATCATGGCTTTGAGGCAACAACCGAAGGATAACCAAGAGGTCAGTCATGTTCATTTTCTCTCCTTTAGTTAGAATCTGAGACTGGAATTATTTTAGAGCCAAATATTGGTTAAGAAACAGATTATGACACGGATGACATCATCACTGATTCACACACTGTTGCACAAACAGTTGTCCAGCCATTACGCTACAACATATATAATAAAACAATTAATAAGTACAGTATGAAAAATCCTAACGAAGTTCAGAAGGAAAGTTTTAGTTTAAAAACATAAGCACTCCATAGCATGAAATGTGAAGTTTGATAGTACCAAAGATGGCTTGAGAGCCACGCACTCTGACTTACAGAGAGCAGTCCAGCACAATGTACTCCAAAAATACCTGAGAGCACTTTAACAGGAGTCTGACCTGTGCACTGTCTGAGAAGAAACGCCATTGATTAAAGGACACATTATGATCTTCTGCTAAGTGGTTTCGTTTAAAAATAGCTACATTGGTTTAGGCTGTAACAATGACCTGAAGATATTTTAAGTACACTTTTTGGGACAGTGTCTCCTAAAGATGTAAACCTTCTTTTTTCAGTCTGTCCTGATTATGTAAAACCTTAACTAATGACCACAGAGCAACACACGTAAACCAGCACTGACACATTACTGAGGAAACTTTTGTAGCAAAAAAAAAAATCACCCATTTAAAATTTTGCAGAAAATGTTTATGTGGTGCCTCCTGGGAGACATGACTGAGGGCAAAATGTGTCACAAATTTGTCTAAACCAAGGTTTTTTTTGTTGTTGTTGTTGTTGTTGTTGTTGTTGTCAGGTTTCATATCAAATTATAACCCTTTGTTCTCATGTTGTCATCAGTAATTCTATTTATATTGTTTTTTAGTTTTTAATCAAAATGACTGTTTTATTCTTTATATATAGAGACATTATATAAAGTGTTTATCAAAATCTTTTTAATTTCACCAAAGTGACTTTAGTACTTCACTGCAATAGATTTGAGTTATTTAAATAACAATCCAATATGTTTCTATATCTTATTTATGCATCTTCGGTGGTTTTGTTTGACACCACATTACCAGCATTTAATTCTGACAAAAGCTACAGAATGTGCTTTGTCAATAACAACAGACTGAAGAACAAGTGTCTTTCTTAGGATGTGGTTCTTTTCTGTGATTTTTGCCATACCTCATAGTTCTCTCTTTCTTGCAGGAGGAATCTGTCCTTCCTGCAACAAAACTGAAGGAAAAACATGTGAATGTTATCCAGCAGCTGGAACAAACGATAGAAGACCTCAGGACAAAGATTGCTGAGCTGGAGCGACAGCCTCCTCTGCTGGACAAGGACAGCATGAAACCCTCCACCGTCACCACAGACAGGGAGTGTGGAGGAGAGGACGGCCTGCTGAAGGTGGTGTGTGATGCTCACCTGCAAACAGAAGCAGCTCCGTCTTTAGGCTGCCTGGAGGCCAAGTCGGTGCAGACCTCACCCATGGATGAAAGCTTTAAGTTCAAAGTGCCTTGTAGTGAGCCAGGTGGAGGAAGTGGCCCCCTGCAGCCCTCAGCCAGGCAGGATGGATTCCAGTGTTCATGTAGGCTGCAGCCTCCTCCTCCACCCACCCTTCCAGGAGGAGCAGTGCCTCCTCATTCAGGGCAGACGGTGGCACCTCCTCCTCCTCCTCCTCCTCCACCCTTACCTGGAGGCTCAATGCCAGCTCCTCCCCCCCCACCTCCTCTTCCACCTGGCTCAGCAGTTCCTCCACCTCCACCTCCACCTCCTCTCCCACCGGGTTCAGCATGTCCTCCACCTCCACCTCCACTCCCTGGTGGTCTTCTCCAACCACCCC